CCAAAATAGGCATCACTACCCGTTGAGTCTCGGAAGACTACAAATGAAGTCCATAGTGGACATGCTCCCACGTTCCACTCGGCAATAGGCAAGGGTTGCCAAACAAACCCGCTGGCCTCTGATGCTTGGCCTTCACTTGTTAGACAGTGGCACCCATGATACAAAAAACAGCCACATCTCTCTTCATACCCCCGCCACCAAAACCTGGGCGACACACAAATTTCGATACATCTTAGTTACCCTCCCGGAATTGCACGCGCAAGGTGTGATGATGGAACTCTCGGAGTACTTCCCTCTCGGCAAGACTCCAGCACAAACAAACGGTCTCAGGTATCTCAACACTTTTGGTCGGGATACACCGTCAAACCCTTCTCAACCTTCCCACTGGAGATCTTACTCTTGGAGGGATTCCTACCTCAAGTCACCTCTCTGTGCCTCTAACACTCGGGGTCCACAAGTGGAAGGTTGCGCAACAACAGAAAACCAAGGCCGCAGCCCTCAACAGATTCACCCCAGAAGTAAATCAAACTCGGCCAAAGTGCAACCCAAACATCTCCCATTCCCCGGATGGCTAATACAACTACATCACTAATGGGTTTCCTAAAAAGGGCATCGGCCACAATAATTGGGCCTTTCCCCGAGTGATAGTGCAACTCAAATCATAGTCCTTAATGAACCCATCCATCCTCCTCTGCCTCAAATTTCAATTATCTCTCTGTGTTAAATAGATACTTCAAACTCTTGTGGTCCAGAGAACACCTCGAACCTCTCACACCATAACGGTAGTTGCCTCCAAATCTTCAAGCGAAGATAACTGCTGCTAACTCTAGGTCGTGTGTAGGGTAATTCTTCTTGTGTATTTTCAACTGACGTGAACCATAAGCTACCACTTTCCCCTCTTGCATCAACACAGAACCCAAACCTCTCGTGAGGCATCACAATAAACCGCATAACCCAACCTTTTCTCCGGAATAATCAAAATCAGAACGGTGGTCAATCTAACTTTCAACTCCTGGAACGACTTTTCGCAAGTCTCACTCCACACAAACTTGACCCCTTTCCGCGTCAATCTAGTCAACAGTGAAGCTAGCTTGGAGAAATCTTTCACAAACCGACGGTAATACCTAGCTAATCCCAGAAAACTGTGGATCTCAAACACACTCTTAGGTTGTGCCCAATCTTGCACTGCCTCTACCTTGGATGTATCAATAGACACCCCTTTCCCTGGATACCACATGGCCTAAGAATTTGACCTCTCCTAGCCAGAACTCGAACAGTGAA